GAAATGACCCCCGAGCCGGACATTGACGCATCGATGCCATCGTCGAGAGAATTCAGCTTCAGTCGGCCAAGCTCGTCGCTCGCTCAGGACGCTCCCTCTTCCTCTTCTCCACTGAAAGACCGTGATGGCGATGATATTATGAGCCCACCTCCTGACGAGGAGGGTGGATCAGACCAAGACTCGGACCACGATCCAGAGCCTGTGTCAATGCTTTCAAGGTCGATCGTGATGGGTGATGGAGAGGCTGACGATGATGAGGATGCTGATCACTCGAATGCTGCTGTTACTGAAGCGACCCTTGGAGAAAGCGAACAGCTAAGCAGTGTTACTGAAGACAGTTGGGTGAAGATGAATGTTGAAGAGGCTCAGGGTAGCGAGCACCAGGAATTGGGTTCTGATAACTTGCCTCCTGAGGGTGAGATGGAGGACGTTTCTCGTCGAAAAGGTGAGTTCTTGAGTACCTTACACCTGCATTTCCAAATCTCAACCAGCTTCACCATGGACCAGAAATTCAAACACATATCCTTTGGGGTAGAATCAAAGAAGCCACCGAACTTTTGGAGCTTTACTACCCTAATGTACTACAGTCCACCGATCCTGGCCGTGCTCCCCAGCAATCTGAAGTCCCACAACCTCCCCCTGCTCTCCAACGGCGTTCTTCGACCACCTCAGCTCCTCGCTCCTCTTTATTCCTTTACCCTCTATCACTAGCACCCGGCCATCTCACTCTCAACCTTAAAATTCAGTCCTTCATTGAAGCTGTCCGCACCCGCCCCTTAGAACCGCCTCCACTACCCTCTTCCTTCCTTACCCCACATCACAGCATTTCTGTAGTGTCAACATATCCTAGCCCTTCACCTACCGGCACCTCCACCCCGGATCCATCCTCTGCCTCGGTACCCCGCCGTCCACAATCCCAATCCCTCGTCCTCCACCTCGGCAAAGAGCTCGCACAAATCGTCAATGGTCTCCCTGATCCCACCGATCGTGCTGTGTATTTAAAAGAGCTTGATGGGATATGGCCACTAATGGCTTACCCCGATCCCGAGCACAAAAGCCCCTCCAATGTGCGAGAGTATCTGCAGTATGACCGGAGGCTGCGGTTAGCGGAGCAAATTAACAGTGCAATATTATGTGAGCGGTCCTTCCTTCCACTAACCGTCACGGCAATTTCGAGTTCCGTGTCCCATCATCCTTCTAGAGGCCATTTGCAAGGATTATTACTTATGTGTTTTCTTTTTCTGCATCCATGCTCTTGACGAATAGTACGAACAGGCCAAAATCCTCGCTCCGCACTGGAGCATCTCGTTCGGTCTACGGGAGCTATTTGGGATCTGGCAGCTGATAAAGAGGTTCAGATCCCTGCGGACCCGAAGAAATACCCCTTTGGGGTCCAGCCCCCGCCCCCACCCCGTGCGCAAGGGAGAATGTTTGTGAGGCAGCCAGATACACAAGTACGTCCGTCCATTTGCGTGTTTTCATCTGGTGAACTCACTCTCAAATCTACATTATCGTTGATTGCCTAATTTTGCTGTGATTACAATGTCCTGATTGATGCACCCAACGACGTCACTCCATGTTCTCGTGTGCCTGATAACAAAGCAGTCTTCGGCGGCGGGACAGTCGGCTCCACGGGAGTCTGTCACAGCTCCGCCGTTTGACTTTTCGCGGTGGCTCGACCCGAAATCGGCATGACTCGGTGTTGGTTGGAACATCGTCCTCCCGCCGAAGCCCCATACATCTAGGCCCTTTAATGCTATGACTCACCCTCGTGTTATATCCTTCTCCACTATTCGCTCAACATTCTTCTTGTATCCCCATGTTCAGCGCATAATCACCGCCATCAACATCAATGATCGCCACGCTTTGGCCCACCCCGATGCGTGTTGCTGCCTCGAAGCTTTTGTCAGGCGGGGAAGCTCACCGTCTGCTTCACCTCATAAACGCGCCGCGTCCCCTCATATGCTTATCGCAGCCATCGGGAGAGCTACCACGGTGCCTGGGCAACGGCCTCAGCGAAGACCCCAGTATTGTCCACTGTCCGCTTATGGCTAATCATCTTGCGCAGTACGATGTATAATCGATGTAACCCAACCCTAGAAATCAGTGTACATTTGCCACTTCCTGCAAATTTGACGCAGTGAATACTATTTTTATTCGAGAAGTTCTCGCTACTCTGGTAGCCCAGTACCCAGTACCAGTACCAGGGATTCGAATATACTGGGTGACGGCACAGTAGTGAATTGTTTACTTATTGCGATTTAGACTCGCTATCGGTGCAAATCATATCATTTCCGCAACGTGCATCGACTCCAGTAGCCGTGCTGCTTCCACGATCCACATCGCTGGCAAAGTGCCCAGACTTATTACTAATCCTTACCTACCAATTGTGAAGGTGTGGGACCAGTGATAGATCTAGTGAGACACTCAAGTGCGCCATTAAACATGCGAGGAGTGTTATTGGAAACCCATTTCGGATCTCAATGATCAGACCCAAGACGTGACGTCCAAGTTATTACTCTGAGACCACTGGAATGCGACGAACGGTGCGGATCTTTAGATCCCTCTAATCTCAATTCAATACAATTGCTTATTGTACTGCCAATGATGATATGATAAGAAGAAGCATCAGGAGAAGGTTTGACGCTCAATCGGTGGGTGCACGCCGTCCGCGTTCCCATATACTGTATGGACTGGGAATGAACCCTTAACCCCTTCTCTCTCCTCCCGACAACCACTCTCGTTTCGCCTTGATCCTCTTCTGCCTGCCTGATAGTGCTCGTTGGCTGTTTGTGCTCGAGCTTTTGATTGTCCAACCCTGCTTGTTGTTGACGGCGCCTAGGCAACACAGATCGCGATGTCCGCAGTACGTGCAGCGATGCAGTCTCTCCGAGGCACAAGCCATGCTCTCTGGCTTGCCATTGCCTCGTTCTTCATCTCTCTCTGGACGTCGTTCCGGTTGACATTCCTTACGAGGAAGCACTTCGTTGAGCTGGTTACCAACGAGGAGAAGAGCGCGCCGGTCAGCGCCAACACCGATACTACTATTATGGAGATGATCAAAGAGAAATGCCCATCGCTTTACGGTCCGAAAGCATACTTCAATCCGACATGGTGGCTTCCTGGGTACGTGTAACTTCTTTTGGCTTTCAAATATTTTCTATGCTTTCTTTTCTCACAATCTCGTAACGACTATGCATGGTATAATAGAGGGAACGTCCAAACGGTCTGGTGTGTTCTGGCCGAGATGTTCTACTACGACCCCATCCCATACACTCGACAACTGCTACGCCTCCCGGATGGCGGGACCATCTCTCTCGATGTCTATCCAGCCTTCGAGAGCAAGGAGGACGATACCCCTATCCTGTTCATCCTGCACGGTCTGACAGGGTCCACGCAGGAAAGCTATATCCGCTCGACCGTGCGAGATGTGACGCGCTCAAAGGTTTATGGGGGCGAGAAAGGTGTTCGAGTGGTCGCGATGAACTTCAGAGGCTGTATGTTCCGTTCATGAAAGTAGTGTCCCACGCTCGGCGAGGAGTCTCACCGTCGTCTTCCTCTGATTGTTCGTAGGTGATGTTGATACGCCCGTAACCAGCCAGCGGCTATATCATGTGAGTAAATAAAGAATTTTCTCCCGTTCGCGGTGCAGGAAATTGACCTCAGAGCGGGCATTGAACGAATAGGCGGGGGAGACCGATGATACGCGCAGTGCGCTGCTCTGGCTCACCGAAACGTATCCCAATGCCCCCATTTATGGTGCAGGTTACAGCATGGGTGCCTGCACAATGGCGCAATACCTCGGTGTATGTCTCGTTTCTACTCCAATTGTGTATGCCTATTCTCATCGATTGTTACTTTTGTGATCATTAGCAAGAAGGCGATAAAACACCCTTGAAAGGCGCCATCTGTGTGTCGAATCCCTGGGACTGGACGATCGCGACCCACTACATTGAGCACGGAAGCTGGCTCAATCGCTATATTTATGGACCCATCCTAGCCGACGCTTTGCTCACGATGTTCAAGAACTCTCGATATGCATTCGAGACCGATGAGAGACTTAACATCCCTGATATATATTCAAAGAGATATACAATCATCCGATTCTTTGATGATCGGGTGACGTCCAAGTTGTTCAAGTAAGCCCGCTCCCCACAATCGCCCTCTCATGCGAATCACTGATCCCTATGCCACCTCTTCACTCGTTATATCCTATTTCACATCTGCTTCGCTTGCATTACGTAGCTTTGAGGATGCGTGGGACTACTATCGTCAAGCGTCGTGCGAGAAACTGATCGATAAAATCGCCATCCCGCACCTCTCCCTCCACACCGAAGATGATCCCATGGTTGCGCCCTTCAACATCCCTTACGCCAAAGCCCGTCGCTCCCCTTACGTCGTCATGGGTACTACATACGGTGGTGGTCACGTTGCGTGGTTCACGACTGCCACGAACCCGCAATCCGGCCAGAAGCACCAGACGCGTTGGTTCGGTACGCCTATTCGTGAGTTTGTCGAGGCGATCCAGAGCGTGGACCCCGCTCCCAAGCCGGGCATGGCCGCGCTAGGAAAAGATGCAAAAGGCCTCACGCGCGCAAGGGACATGCCAGATAGAGTCGGGTTTATGGAGTATGAGGACGATGGTACCCTGATGACGGCGAGGAAATATTGGCCCATCGTCAAGACCGTGAACATCGGCAGTTGAGCTGCTGCTGCTTGTGCGTGAGCACACGATCAACTGGCTGCTTTCTCTTTTATCCCTGTACCTACTTCCCGCGGACTTCAGTGAGATGATGTGCTTGCTTTATTGCCCAGTGCCACCCACCATAGACTTCCCTCATCTTGGTTTTTTTTTTCTCCTCGTTATTCTCCTTTGTATTCGTACCCGCCATAGAATAGTCTGCCGACTTACGCCCTAGATGTCATGAGACTCTCTCGACGACAATTAGGGCGTAATGAGTAAACAATTAGTAGTGCTCTGGTCGTTTACCACCAGAGCCGCATTAGTAGTTCAGTGGTAGAATGGGTCGTTGCCATCGACTCGGCCGGCGTTCGATTCGCCGCTAATGCAACCTTTTTGTTTTGCTTTTCACTACACTTCGTCCCAAAACCCTCCAGCTATCTTTAGAACAATAAATCTGCACTTATCAGGTTCATAAGGGCGGCGCACTTTCTCACTTTCTTTTGCTGGGATGGTTGGTCGTCAAAATATTTGTCTATTTTGGTACAAAGCTTAGCCCCAAGTGTGGTGGGGTATTAGTAGTCTAAGTTGAAGCACGGGTGCAGTGTTGTAGTACCATCGTAAGAGCTCCAGTTGGTGCAACGACTCGCCTCTGTATTTGTTTCTCCGGATAATGGGAATTACGGCAACACAGCTACAGACTTGCCACTTGATCGTTGATCTGATAGCGTGTCTCCAACGGCACGCCATCCACAGAAACGAATCCGGAATGGGGGCCGATAGGAAGCTATAAGTCTAATTTCATTACCATAGGGATAGGGAGCCTTGCGATTGCAACGCGGAGCGCTCCGCGATTACCTAGGCTAATTCGAGAAACTGAAGTCCCATTTAGCACTCTAAGAGATAAATCCGAAGTAATAAAGCCCCTAGTTCAGATGAAAGACGGAAAAGCTCCTTATAAACCCTTTAGGTGGCTAAATCACGATTAGAGATCCATATGGGCGTGGCCCTAGGGTTCGGGCAGTGATAGAGAAATCTCGGGACAGGGCCGGGGTTCTTTTCCGAATCTCCGGTGTAGCGCACTTCGATAACAGCTTTCAGGGGATTGGCCAGATAATATCTATGGTCGCGGCTACGACCAATATGAATGTTTATCTGTTGGTATGGGATCGATGTTGAAGAGCCTGCCAGTCACGTGCACTTACTCCCGCGCTTTCTCAACATCGGCCCCTTCACGGGCTGGGTTCCCGATCCCTTTCAAGGTATCAGGAGCCTATTTGGGCATACAAGCTGTGCCTGTATCTGACTTCCGCCACTTGTGGAGCACTGGTATGGATTCGAAAGCTTCAACGTGCGAGATTGAACTTGAGTGGCGCTGGTCAAGTCTTGTGCACATCTCCTCATTACACAGGCTAGATTTAAATTGATTGTCAGGGACAAATGATACTTGCGCATGAACATTTGGCACTACCCTGAAGGACACCCCTCAATGACGAGAACTATGCGCTTCTTCGTGCCCATCTGGCCATCTCACTCCACATAAAGTCCTTGCACTTCGCATACAAAATGAGGAGCACCACAAGGCACCAAAACATCTCTTGAATGGTCAAATTAACTACGATAACGCCAAATCTGTGCGCCCATGTGGTCTTAGTCCCATAAGGGCATGATTTTATAGTTCGTGTGGACTCTTGCGCACGAATTGACTATACACTTGGCTATGAGGCTTCGAGAAGGACCTGGGGAAGCACTCGGCGCTCAACGGGCCCGTTTTAATGCGATTTTCTGTGCCGTTCCTCAGATCTGCGGCCAAGCACGCGTTCTAGTGGTTGCCGCTTTGTCGGTACTGTGGCTCTGCCACTCGTACCTGCTTCCTCGTGCCTCTTGACCTTGCAAGATCGGCCAGAGAGTTCTACAGTATCGTGTCATGGGGTTAGTGCAGACGTAATGGCGAAGTATCTCGCTTACACTAGGGATAATTAAAAGAGGACCACCATCAGATGCTGGCGAGGCAGTCTTCCTCCGTCGGCCGCGATCACCGATAGCAATACTCTCTTTTTTAAGATGCCAAGCGATCTAGATCCTAAAACTTGGCAAGAGATCCGTCTCACAGTGTCAGGGACACACACAACCGAAGTTACACGGTGACTGTGAACAGCGCCTCACCATGCGCTCGCTCATCTGTGAGATCGATATGACCCCCGCTGAAAAGCATTCCGGGTCATTGGGTATCCTAGATGCCGGTGAATGGACGTCGACAGCTTTGTTTTTCGCTAAGCTCGCCCAAGCGCGTTTCGGATTCAAGCCCCGAAGTGTAGTTAGCGTTCATGATCTGCCAATACCCATTGCTATGGATGAAACGGCTCCATGAACAAGGTAATAATCGGAGCCTCCCTACGCCGATATTCCTCGGTATCCTGGTCGTCGTGTGGCAAAATCGTGCAACTGAATCGTGCAACTCGCTTGATCGCCTGAAGGACGAGGGTCAATCCCACTCACGCGTCGTGGTTGTGGTAAAGATGTTTCGCCTGTAGTAACCAAGATTGGTCAAGTGCCGCGTGGACGTAAAGATAAAGGGCAGGAATAACATATGGTACACAATAGTGAAACATGTACCAAAAGCAGGCAGGTGGGAAAGGTATACAAAGGATGCGAGTGATTGTGTGGGCAATGCGGCGAGGAAGCGAGGTCATGCGGAATTGATGCAGAATGGGGAGGAAGAGACCGTACAGATACAGGGTATTGTGCGGGAAAGAGGGACGCAAATAATACTAGGACAAAAATGAGGGCCGATTTTGAAAAAGAAAGACATAGCAAATCATAGTCCGAGGGGCATGAATGAGATGAAGACAAGTCTGAGAGACGCAAAGTACCGTCGCTCGCCGAGATTTTTTTCAGATGAAGATATTCATCATGGGCGTATGTACGAATTGCATGCCGCCGCCTCCGCCGTTGCCTTTGTTTAGGGTATTGGCGCCCATCTCCGCGGTGGGAGTCGAGTTGTTGGTGGGCAGCTGATTGGGACCACCCCATCCAGCCGTTGGAGCACTCCCATACACGTAGTTGGAGCCATTGATATTCTGGAAAGCTTCTTGCTGCTGCGCTGCAATGCTGAGGTTGTGAAGGGGGGTGTGTAGTGAATTTGGGAGGGAGCTAGGGTATCCTGTTTCTGGGATACCCGCAGAGGGCGGAGCAGACGAGGTTGAAGACAAACCCGAAACAGACAGAGTCAGCGACGGAGGAATTGAAGAGCTTGTATGAGACGAGCCAGGAGTTGAGGGACCTGATTCTGCTGGAATATACGGGTGGTGGACTTCCTGCTCCTCGCTGCGCTCCCGCCGGCTCACTGATGGAGGCGATGAGCCACCAAAGGCCGCAACAGGACCATGCGACGTCGCTGGTGGGGTGTTAGGGAAGTTAAACCCCTGGTGTCTTGCCTGTTGGGCCTGCTGCTCTCGCTGCTGTTGGAACTGGGCGAGAGCATTAGACGTCAGCTGGGCATTCCACATCGCCCGCTTTGCCTCATGTTCGCTCAACATGTGGGGATGCTGAGGAGGCATGCCTGGCATATTAGGAGGATTTAGAGTCGATGGGAAGCCTGCTGCAGCTTGCGCAAAGGCGTCGAACGATGGGGGAGGTCCCATATTTTGCGGGAAGGCATTTCCAGGGTTGGGCGCAGAGCTAGGCACACCGCCGTTCATCCCCATCTGAGCCATCTGGATGGCATGCTGGTGCATTTGCTGCTGCTGAAGGGCCTGGGCATACTGGCTGGGATTTTGAGCGTGGGGGTTGAGCACTTGATGTGGACCGAATGGAGTGGAATGGTGCGGCTCATTCATCTGCATGGGCTGATGGCGAAGGGAGCTAGGATTTTGATGGTGCTGCAGGGGGACAGATAGCGACTGGGCACGGGCACGGTTCCCGTCAATCGACCGCTGCGCATGAACGACTCCCGGTATCGGGTTTGTAAAAGCCGCCGCTTGCTGGAAAGGAGGCTGGTGATGCTCCGTGGGCAATGTGAAATGGGATCCGTCGTCGTCAAACGACGTCGGATACCCGGTGACGTAATCATCCTCGCCATCCTCTCCGATGCTTGCCGCAAGAGGGCCCGAATCACCCCCTCGCATCTCGTATGCAATACGTTCCTGCTCGTTCATCCGATCGTCAGCTGCTGACGTGTCCTCCATCTCAATGAGGGAGATCAGCTCGTGACTACGAGGCGGCTCTCGGAGGCCTTGGAGGGGAGCCCCACGGTCCATGACAGATGGGTCGGAGTTTGCCCGCGCCGTTGGGACGGGGTTCATCGGGTACGAGGCCCGCCACTCATTCACTTCGCGTCGCAGGATATCAGCCTCGCGTACCAGCTGCCGGACTTCACGGGCAGCAATAGCTCGCAGGCGGCGCTGGGTGCGTACCATTGCAATAGACGAGTTGATAATCGCGCTTTTCGACGGTCTTCGGACATTGACCAGGTTGGGAAGCAGTTGGGCAAGATCCTAAAATTGAGGGGGGAATAATCCCAAGTTTCGCCAAAAAGTGCGTGACACGTCGTCGTGACGGGTAATTTCGCGCCCAAGCGGAGGCGGACCCAACGCAGATCAAGAATGAACCCGCAAATGGACAATGCAGAGAGAAGCGAGAGAGAATGTCAGCGAGTCTCAGGCGAGGCAGCGGCACCAACATAATGAACGCAAGCTTACGAGAAAACGACTATTCAAGGTCTCACGGCGTTGGCGTTCGACAGCATTATGAGTAGCTCGACGCTCGGCTGTATTCGCCCTTCGGATAGGTTTCCGACGAATCGCTCCAGCTGGAGTGCCGGGGGCTGAGGTATCCGGTGTGCCACCGCCAGTGGGAGTCGTAAGAGAATCGGTGGAGGCGAAGGGGTTTGAAGCATGGGGGGATGGTGAGGAACTGGAGGGAGGTTCGGAGGAAGGGACGGAGGATAGAGCTTGGGACTGAGATGATGGAGAATTCATAGAAGGGGGTGCGCCGATCTGGGCTGGGGAAGGTTCAAACGACATTCTGGTTTCGTATAGGTGAGGGAATGGGGGAAAGAGAGCTAGAGAGGGAGCGGGAGGAGAGGGAATGGGCAGGGAGCTAGGAAAATTGACTGGAGAGCTGTTGGGAGGCAGGAGAGGGAGGAGGGGGGGATAGTTCTATGAGCTAACCCACAATGTCTCGGCGAGCTTGCGAGGGACTAACAGTAAAGCTCTCAGGATCAATCCACCGGCTACGCGATGACTCAGCGGAAGCCTGAGTGGTTGTATGGAGGCGCACAGGTTAGTAGTCTGAAGAACGCCAGGTCTGGGGTGAGGTCGAGGGCGAGTACGGTGCAAGGTAGGCAGGATGTATGCGCTGGAGGGATGCTGCTCGTCGTCGATGTTAGA